AATTGTACCAGGAGTACATATATGGCAGTCAGTCGCCTTGTTAACCCAGGGCAAGAAATCCTAGGCTGGCAGGAAACCCTCCCATCACCTCGATTCAAAGGGTAGATTTGTAAGCTACCCACCCTCTCCAACACACCTGCCAGCAAGAAATAGGGACTTTGAAGTAAGGAATGAAAGAGAGTTTTTCACTCCGCCGAAATACACAGAGAATGGGGAGAATGGTCACTGTTTGTGCTGAAAAATTCGAGAGACTTTTCCTAAATACATGGGAGCCAGGCTACAAAATCTCGCTCCCCGCTGAAAAAAAGTGGAAGAAGGGGGGGAAAAACTACAGGAATGCATTATCCCTCCTTGCTGTAAGAGGGAGAACTGTCCCCCCCACACACCTTCCCACACCTGGCTGCTACAAAGGCAAAAATCTTTGCTGCAGCCTTCCCCTCTCTGATTTTCCCTTTGCTCACCTGCGTTCACCTCGCAAACAAAAACAACCCCGAAAAAAAAAAGACTCAAAGACAGTCCCCTAGCAAGACATAAACCGTATCAGATTCAAAGCATCCCCTGCCCACCACAAGAAAAGAAAAGCTCTTAGAGTTCTCTGGGCAAGAACTTCACAAGTGAATGCACTTGGATTCCGGCTTCCTTATTAGAAAAGAAAGAGGGAAAGCGCCTGAAGTGGATATTTCAACGGCACTTTATTTTATAGATCATGCCGATTTTTAAAGCAACTCTTCCCTTTCTTTCAGAAGAGAGATTCTGAATTTGAAATTGACCAGACTCCAATGGTGGCACGTTGCTGGATTTTAGCTCATTTTTTGATGGTTCGTTTTGGTTCACCATGCCAAACAAGAAGCTTAAGAGATTTTATATTAAAATCCAGGGAAACCTACCAATTATTAGCATTATGAACTCTACTGGGCCCAGACATTTTTCCCAGCATCTCACTGTTTTCTCTCCTCTCCAAACAGAGGCAAACAAACAACTTTTCTGCTCAGACTCGCTGAACCAAGACATTCCAAATAGTAAATGTATTGTGCGCTTCTTTTGACTGGTTTTTCTGAAGCCATCGGCTTGGGGACCAGCAGAAAGAATTGCTGGCCTCCTTTACACAACTGGGCTGGGAAAGATCAATCCACCGGATACATCTCGTTGCAAACAGAACATTTTCACTTCGCACCAGCAGCCGAATCTTGGACAGCACAGAGATGTCACCCCTGCCACCCATCTAAACACTTTGCAGGGTCGACAGGACGGATGGGGTTTGAGTGCATTTTTGATACTCCGTGGTGATGAGAATCTTTCCACTCAGCATTCAGAGATGGGATCCAGAGGATAGAAGTGGTTTTGCTTTTAGTATCCTCATTGGTTCAAAGCATAATACAAATTATTTGCATCAGGTTTTAACCAGAGGGTTCCCTCTTCTCCACTTTATAATCCCTTGCTCAACACAGGAGCAAAGATGGGGGGGGGGTTAAGAATAAATAAATTAAATAAAAAAAAAAAAAGAGTACCTCAAGAATATTAGCTCTAACATTTTAAAATACAGGCAACGTGGGGGCATAGAAAGTCTCCCCTTTCAACCCACACTCTGCAAGGAGGAAAGAATAAAGCCCGGAATTAGAACCATCTGACTGCTTCGCAGAATTGACAAAAGCTTCGCGACTCAGTCAGCAATATAAAATTTTCTTCCTTATGTTCACTGTTCACTCTCAAAGTTTCTGATTTAGAAACTTACCCAAAAAAATGGGGACTAAATCTGACAAATTATTTTTGCATCGGCATAAGCAAGCCTGATTTTAAAAACAGACTTTCCTCAGAATAAAAGAAAGCTGATTTCATTAAAATCTGAGATTTACTTATGTTTAGTCAACAATATTAGTATGGCATGAAACATACAACTGGCAGACTCATGCTGTCTATATAACACAATGTTGATTTGACACTAAAACTGTCTCCAGCATAACATACTTCTTATGTACATTTTTAAACTCACAGGAAGAAATTTTCACTCCCTGGAAAATCCTACTTCTAAGTAAAAAACACAACCTTTTAATAGACAAACTAATAACATTTTATTGTCTACCCCACAGCCTTTCCAAAAGCATTGTAAAATGAGGTCTTTAAATGACAAATGCACGTATATTGTAGTCTCCAAAGTAAAAAAGTGATGTGGGTTGATCAGTTACTTAAAACCGGCAACAGAGCCTGGCTAGGAATCCATTCTGAAATTCCGCTTTAATTCCTTAGCACTATATTAGGAATAGAAAAAAATCACACTGTGCGTTTTCTAAATGTGTGCATTTTTAACATGGCTCTGAGTAACAATGCAAACTTTAGTTTTTAGATACTTCTGAATTATTCCTGTTCTCTCCTATTAACATTTTATTTGAATTAAAAAGTAGGGTGTGTGGGGAAAAGAGGAATAATTTTTTCTTATTAAAAATAAAAGCTATTCCCAAAACAGAAAGGTTAGCTAAAATTACACTCCACTTGTTCTCAATACACACCTTAGAAACGTGCTTACCAACACAAAACAGTTTCCTATCCCCCAAAGAAATATTCAGAGCAATCTGCTGCTAACACGACACTTAGTAAACTTTTTTGGGGGGGGAAAGGGATGTGGATATGGAGGAGAGAAACAGAAGCCCCAGAAGCCCGTCTGTTCATAGCACAGAAAAGGAAGACAATTTTTGAAGGAACAGAAAAATCATTAATTCTCTCAAGGTTTGCACTGAGAATTCATCACCAACGAAGCTATTCACTCTATTGGGGATCGGATGAAAGCAGCTGATTAGAATTGTCCTCATATCCCTCACCAACTAACCATCAGTTTTAAAACAAGTTCTGTCTGGGATTTCACTACTTAATAATACATTCTTTCCAAACAATTGTTATTAGTGATGGCTTACATGGCTTCAGCTAGACGGTGAACCTGATCAAAAACCTCATACAGATGACATGCATTGTATGAAAGTTTCAAGGATCCTCCTCTCCTCCACAAAAAAAAAAAAAAAAAAAAAAAAGCCCGCATCACACTTTTAAAACAAAGAAACAGAAAGGCTCCCAAACTGGGGCCATTCGGGAAAGATGTGCACACACAAATGACAATGTTGAATTTCACTGTACAGCTGGCTGAGTTAGAATCCTTAGTGTGTATATTTTAAAAATCAATATATATATTTTAATCTTATTTTGCCTTCTCACTATTTTAAATACTTTAATTTCAATCAGGATATTCACTGACAGTGTTAATTTTTCTGCAGGTTGTTGAAGGTTTTGTTGGTTAGTTTGGGCTCAGTTTGCTTCTTTAGGGAATTTAGAGATTTTAAAACTTGGATTGATTTTTTTTTTTTGTATTTCTAAACAAGGAGAAATTTACTTTGTTGGCACAACGCACAGCCCAGAGCAGCAGGTTGTGTGTTGAAATTATTTTTTTAAACACTCAGCAATAGACATTAAAATAAAACGGCCTATGGGGGAAATAAAAAGACAGGTATCAACAAAGGAAGACCAAATGCAACATGTCCCTGCAAAGTATTCTGAACTACTGTAGCTATTGAGGTTATGCTATATTGCTTCCCCTAGCAGAAAAACGATTAACTTAAACACCTATTTCTCACGGTTAATTTTTTTTTAAATAAATTAATTTAGGAAAGCAAAAGTAATTTCTTAATTGCAAAAGATGTTTCCCAAGCTCCCATGGCAAGCATTACAAATAATAGCACAAAGCAGGTTCTGGGATTCAAGAGAAAAAAAAATACTGCCAGCAAAAGTTTCTTTGGAGTCTAGAATCCACCAGGAAAGACAGTGCGAGAGAGCAGGTTTTCTTGGAAGTTTCCTGTTCATCTCCAGGCCTGTCAGGGGAAGTTGTATTGTGAGGCTGGGAGAGGGGTGGGTAGAAATACAGCTGTCCCCACATTATTTGCCCTCTGTACCCCCCCCCCACCTCCAGACTTTCGACTAAGAGCCCCATAAATGTGAATAACTTTCCATCTGCCCACCCTGTCAATCAGAGCAAGTTGTGAGATTCACACACACAGGGCTGATACAGCTACACAAAGCTCAGGAGCCAGACTCCTATTTTCCCCCCTCCACGCACCCAAAAGAAATAAACACACACAAAAAGAAGGCAGACCACAACCTTCCCTTCCCCCTGCAGGCAAACAGCTTCCCATCCCAACCCCCCCAATTTCATTCCCTTCTCCCCCAATATACACAACTCATGCACCCCCCAAAAAAACCCTCTGTTCCCCCAAATCCCTGGCATTTCACGCCACTTCCATGCACGTCTCAGCTGAAAAGTTGTTGCTCTCCCAGCCTTCTCTTTGTCTCAAAGCTGTTTGGATGCAACTTCGAAGCCACCCCTCTTACCAAATGCTCCAGGCGATCGATAGGGGTGCCGGGGGAGGGGGTGTGGAATCCAGAATATAAATCCTTTAACTTCGAGCCCCTCCTTTCTCCATCCCCAAAGGGAAACTAAGAGCAGCCTCCCCCCCTCTTCCCTCCAAGTATTGCGGAGCCAAAGTGAAGGCAAGGCGACTCCTGGAGCTGGCTTCCTACTCCCGAGACAGTTCCGCGGAGGCAGGTTGCACAATTCGAATCAACAAAGCGAGCAACAACAACAACAAAAAAAGAATATTTTGTTAAAAAAGAAAAAAAAGCAGTGGCCGGGTTTCTCCCCTTTTTACCAAAGAGGGACACGGGGCGAGCGGCTCTCTCCACCCCCCACCTGTTTAAAAAAAAAAAACCAGCCTCTGCAAAGAAGAAAGGAAAGAAAGAAAGAAAACAGCTGTCCAGCCTGTTTAGCAACTTTCTGGGGTTAGCGGCTGGAAATATTGAAAAGGGGGGCAGGGAAGCCAAAGGGAGGCAGTGGAATGCCTGGAATAGGGATAAGAACATCCACACAGTGAGAAGGAATGGAGATCGATGAGCGAGACTCTCACACACATACACATAATCACACACAATCACACACACACACACACACACACAACCCCACCAACCTGTTTGGCTCTACCGCGTCTGGAATCAAAGCTCAACTTTAACCCCCTGCTTGGAGCATGGGTGGCGGCTGCTTCTCCTCCTCCAAATCTTCGCCGGGAGAGGAGGGGGGGAGATGCAGGGACCGCTCCAGTCCCGGGGGGAGGCTCCCCAAAGTTAGCCGTCTCGGGGAGAGCCGCTAGACCCGCTCATGCATGACCCTGCGCGGCTTGGCTGCCTTCTCCCCAGCTGGCTGGGGGCTCCCCCTCTTCTGCCTCCCCCCACCCCTGCTCCTCTTCCTCCGCGGCTCAGGCTAGGGTGGGGGGGCCAGGCTGCTCCCTCCTCGCTCCGGGTCCCATGCACATGGGGAGACCGGGCTGTAATCAGCGGGGCTGGGTCTGCACGGGAGATGTGACTTGAGAGCTGGGAGGGGAGGCGTGGAAGAGAGTTACTTCCACTTCTACCATAATCCCTCTAAAGCAGGTGCAGCTCATTTCCAACCCCGCCGCTCCTGGCCGGGAGACGAAGGGGAAGAAGTTGAGGCTTTGGGAATTAAAGGCAAGGAAACGGATTCCTCCTTCTCCTCTGGGCAGGGTCCGGCAGGCTGGATCCTGCTGCCTAGGGACAGCATCAGAACAGGGGGTCAGGCTGGGTGGGAGTTTCATTGCTCTTCCCAGCTGTTTCGTGATTGTTATTTTGTGAATAATAATTGTTTCTATTGCTAGGCACTGTACAAAACTGCTTGGGAATGCTCCCTTTCTGTCCCCCCAGTGATTAGAATCAAACTAGATAGACACCGGAGCAGAGAAAGAAAGGATTTCCCATTTTACAGAGGGGGAAACTGAGGCACAATGTGCTCATGTGATTTTCCAGGAGTCCTGCAAGGAGTCTGTGGCAGAGCCAGGAACTGAACCCCAGGTCTCCTAGACACAGTCACAAAGCGAGAGATAGCCCCTGTCCCAAAGAGTTTACAATCTAACAGGGCAAGATAGATAAAGGCTGTGAGTGAGAAAGAATCATCCCCATTTTACAGATAGGAACAATGAAGTCTGCAGCAGTGTTCCCTGTAAGCTGAGCGCTTGGGTGGCCACTCAGGAGAGATTCAAATGTCACCCAGCTGATTAGCAGAGCAAATAGTGCCCACAGCTGGCAGCATGTGTTTCTCTTGGTGGTGCACATCCATTCATGCCTCAGTGCAGATAACAACATTTATTCCACTCATGGATGGGAAAAAAACTAGAAGGAACACTGGTCCAGAGGCCCAGACCATAAAGGCATTTAGGCTCCATTGATTGCATTGCAAGCTAGAGACTTGTGTATCTGGCCATGTGAGGCCTTCTCTGGAGTGGGGGGAGGGCAAACTGTAAATTATCCTATTATCTCCCTGCCTCAGCAAGAGGGAGATTTGCAGGGGCTGAACTGTGTCTCAGCTCCCTGACGCTCCAGTCGGTTAGCCAGTCCAATAACCTCCTCAGAGCTCTGCCAGTCCTTTCCTTGACTTGCAAGGGATCCTTGGGGGCCCCAGATCCTGAATCCCCAGGAGAGCGTATCCCTGTAGTATACAACCCGTAGACGTTCACAGCAATTACCAAGTTTGCTGTCTCCAAAGTGACAGGATACACACACCAGTCTGCTGGCCCAGCAGAGGATGCGCACTTCCCTTTAATGTAACAGCACTGCGATGGATTTAGAATAAAACAAGCATGAGTTTATTAATGACAAACAGCTTTAAGTGAGACTGTGCAGAGATAATAAAAACAGAAAGGGGCTACAAATAAAAGGAGAGTAGAATCGTGCTTTCTAGCAACTAAAACCTAGCTCAACAGATTACAAACCTTGTCTACAATAAGTTTCTTACCTAAAGCAATCTTTTAGTGTCAGTCAGTCACCCGGCTGGGAATCCACTGTTCAGGGACACAAAGAGGGCTTAAATTGCAGCAAGGGAGGTCAAGGTTGGACATTAGGGAAAACTTCCCAACAGTCAGGGTGGTTAAGCACTGGAATAAATTGCTTAGGAGGGTTGTGGATTCTCAACACTGGAGATTTTTAAAAAGCAGACATCTATCAGGGAAATGGTGCTTGGTCCTGCCATGAGGTCAGGGGAGTGGACTTGATAACCTCTGGAGATCCCTTCCAGTTCTGTGATTCGCTCTGTTCTCCCAGTGATGGGAGGCAAAGGGGTTCTCTCCCCTTTCTCTGATAACCCAGGAAACCTGTGAGAGGTGTTATTTTAAAGTGTATGTCCAAATAAC